AGAGGCAGGTTGTTCAGGGCCTTGTGAGCCTCAGGGAGGACTTGGGCTTGTTCTGAGATATTGGAATGTTTGCCAGGGAGAGGTCCCCTTATGAGCTGATGGAGACTCATGGAGGGCAGGGTCCAGCATAGCCTGGCCTCCTGACTTCTGGTGGCCCACAGGATCCTTGATAGGAGCTGGGGAGGAAAAGGCTCACTCTCCAGGCAAGATGGGAAGGGGAAGTTGTGGGTGTAAATGGTGTGTCTATAGTGGACAGTTTTCTAGGGGACTCCACAGCATCCTTTCAACCTGCTGTGTGACCTCAGGCTCTCTGTGCTTCAGTTTCCCATCTGTCATCAGGGGCAACACTAGGGAGCCCTGGACTGGCATGGGGAGGCCCTGTTCTTGCTCCCTTTTAATACCTGGTCATACGTCCTGGTCCTGCCTGCTCACCTGTTATGGCATGTGATCTCAGGACTGTGCCAGCCTACTCTGTGTCTCCATTGGACAAAAGGGGCATAAAGCTTGGACTGGTGAGTAGAGGCCTGGCCCCTCTGTCCTGTTTGGCTGTGTGATTTCTGGGCGACCCAGATCTATCTGCCTCAGTTTCCCCATTTGTCATGGGCCATAAGCCTGGGGTGTCCTAGGCTGCTGATCCCACACACCACACTGTGTAACTTTGGGAGGGTCTCTAGCCTTTTCTGTGTCTCTTATTTTGTTCCCACCTGGTCACACGCCACGGAGCCCTGGGCCACTGTGGGAAGGTCTGGCGATGTGACCTCCCCCTACTCTGCCCATCCACAGGCACCATCTGCGTCCTGCTCTCCTTCCCTTTCATCTTCAGTCCCTGCCTGGGCTGTGGGGCAACCACACCTGAGTGGGCCGCCCTCCTCTACTACGGGCCCTTCATTGTCATCTTCCAGTTTGGCTGGGCCGCTACACAGATTGCCCACCTCAGCCTCATCCCCGAGCTCATCACCAATGACCACGAGAAGGTAGAGCTCACGGCTCTCAGGTACCACCTCTGCGGGGCAGGGTTGGGAGGGCACATGCACCGCAGGCGAGGACAGGGGACCCAGGGCTACACTCTCTGTGTGGTCTCTGCCTGGCTATGTTGCTCTGGGACTCTCAGCCCCAGTTTATTCATCTGTAATGTAGTATATCAGTCACCTGCTACTTAGCGTAACAAATGACCACAAAGCATGGTTTCTATGGGTTAAGAGCCTCTCTCAGCTTAGCTGGGTTTTCTGCTTCAGTGTCGGTCTAAAGGTTTCAATCAAGGCATCGGCTAGGGCTGGCCTCATCTGAGACTTGGGGTCTCTCTACTCTGCTCATGTAGTTGGTGGCAGAATTAATTTCCTTTCTTTCTTTCTTCTTTAATTGATTTTTAGAGAGAGAGAGGAAGGGAGAGGAAGAGAGAGAGAGGCATCGATGTGAGAGCAAAACATCAATCAGGTCTGCCTCCTGCACACTCTCTACCGGGATCAAGCTTGAAACCTGGGCATATGCTGACTGGAAATGGGACCTGCAACCTTTTGGTGCACAGGATGACTCCCAATCAAGTGAGCCACACTGGCCTAGACCAGAATTCATTTTCTTACTGATGTAGATAGCACTTATGGTGGCTTGCTGATTGACACCAGCAGGAGAGTCAGACCTCAGGGATGGCTTAAGCCCTTTTTCTTTTTTAAAAATATACCTTTATTGATTTCATAGAGAGGAAAGGAGAGGGACAGAGAGATAGAAACATCAATGATGAGAGTCATTGATCGGCTGCCTCCTGCATGCCCCTAACTGGGGATCGAGCCCGCAACCCAGGCATGTGCCCTGACCGGGAATCGAACCCCGATCGCCTGGATCCTGGGTCTATGCTCAACTGCTGAGCCACGCCTGGCCAGGCTAGCCCTTTTTCTAAGAATCGCTTAGCCCTGGCCAGCTAGGTGATTCTTAGAAAAAGGGCTCAGTGGTTAGAGCGTCAGCCCGCGCACCAAAGGGTCAAGGGTTTGATTCCTGGTCAAGGGTCTGTACCTTGGTTGCAGGTTTGATCTCTGGCCCCAGTCTGGGTGCTTGCGGGCTGCAGCTAGTTGTCTCTGTCACATCGATGTTTCTCTCTCTCTCCCTGCTTCCCCTCCCTTCCACTCTCTCTGAAAATCAGTGAGAAAAAATATCTTCAGATGAGGATTAACAATAACCAAAAAGAGTCACCAGAATAGGTCAGGCCTACCCAGGATAACCCCTTTAACCACATCTGCAAAATCTTTTCATTTAGTTGCCTAAATATGGGCGTGACATCCCATCATGTTCATGGGTCCCATCCCCAAGGGGAGGGGATTAGGTAGGGCAGGGCCAGGGCATGGGAGTCTGCAGGGCCATCTTAGAATCCTGCCTGCCACATGTGGGTACATTTGGCACCCAGCTTATCCAGCACTTGCTTGAGGTGCTCAGTGAGGTTATTCTGGATTTGGTGATCATAGGAGCATTTATGGAGTGCTTGCTGTATGCCAGGCACAGTGCACAGTTCTAGGCCCTTCACATGGATTATCTTCTTTAATCCTCACAACAAACCCATGTAGGCTCATGCCCAAGGCCAGACCAAGGTGTCTATGGGAGGTGTGCAGTAGAAAAAAGGAGGTGGCAGTTCCAGCCAGAAGGGAGAGCACATGTGAGGGTGGCCAGTGTTGCTGGAGCTCAAAGAGCCCGGCTCACACTTGGTGCCCAGTAAGTGCATGTTACTCTTGCTATTAGGGTAGCATCTTTGTTGAGGGTCCAACTCAGCCTGTTTGGCCCCAGTCTGGTCTCCCCACCCCTGCCTTTGAGTTCCCCATTATGGCCAACAGCTGCAGACACTAACGACAGGGGTTGCTCAATGGCCAGGCCCCTGAGGGCCCCAGAGGTTCCGAGAGGTTAGGGGACAGGCTAGGCCAGGCCAAGCTCTGATGAGCTTTCTCCTACAAGTGCTTCATTTCCAACCTCGTGTCATCTTCACTGTGACCTCTGGGGGGTAGTTTTGTTCTCACTGTTAGAAGGGGAAACTGAGTCCTGGTAAGAGCCAGAGGTTGCCCCTGTCCTGCCCTTCCCAGCCCCGGGAGGGACATCACTCTGGGGCTGCAGGCAGGAGCAGATCTATACGATTCTGGACCTTGCCCTGCTGAAGCCCAGGATCTTGGTACCAAGAATTCCAGAATCCTGGCCTCTGAGCATCTTGGGTTCTCAGAGTTGGGTTGCAGCCCTAAGTGGGCCCTACTTTGCTGAGGCTCTGCATCTCTGAGGCTCAGCCCTCTGTCATGGTGGCTGAGGGTCAGAGCTATAAATCATCAGATAACCTGCAGGCTGGGTAAACTGGGGCCAGCAGGGACTTCCTTGGGGCCACCTAAGGTTTGGTGGCTGAAATCTGTCAGCCAGAGGTTCCCCAGAGGCCACAAGCAGCTCTCACTGTGTGGCTGCCTGGGGAGGAAGTGGCTATGTGGTTTCCTGGGCTTCCATGCTGAGGCCTCGCCTGTCCCCTCCAGGTACGCCTTCACCGTGGTGGCCAACATCACTGTCTATGGTGCTGCCTGGCTCCTGCTCCACCTGCAGGCCTCTCCAAACATGGGGCCCACCAAGGATGTCAGTGACCAGCTGGGGGTCCAAGATGTGCCAGTGTTTCGGGTGAGCTGGGGCCGGGATAGGGGCAAAGTTGCTGCTGGCGGGATAGGACATCCTCCCCAAGGCCCTGAACTTGGGGCTCAGGCTGGGAGAGCCACTGCTGACGCCTCTTCTGCCGGATCCTCAGAACCTCTCCCTGTTGGTGGTGGGCATTGGAGCCATCTTCTCACTGCTGTTCCACCTGGGCACCAGGGAGGGGCGCAAGCAGCTTGTGGAGGAACCAGATGAACACAGCCCCCTGTTGGCCCCCACCACGGCCCGCCCCTTGCTGCTCTGGAAACACTGGCTTCGGCAGCCGGCCTTTTACCAGGTATGCAGTGGGGCACAGTGGGCTGGAATGCACGCCTGTCTCCCACCTGGCCCTTCCTGTGTGGGGCTGCGGGCAGGGTGGCCAGTAGATGAGCAAACACCGGATTTTCCATTTCACAGGCAGGGCAGACAGTGCTAATCAATTACTGCTCTCTTCTCCACCTGCCAGTTATGGCCACTAATAGTGGATCAGGTGACAGCTGTACCTAGGCCCCCAGCGTCCCCTGCTGGTGGGAGCGGAGAAGGGCCCTGTCTGACCCCTAAACCAGTCCCTCTGTCTGCCCATAGGTGGGCTTCCTGTACATGAGCACGAGGCTCATTGTGAACCTGTCCCAGACATACATGGCCATGTACCTCACCTACTCCCTCAACCTGCCCAAGGTGAGCTGGGTAGGGTGGGCCAGAGCTGTGGGTGGGTCCTGAGCCCGAGGAGCCCTACCTGATACACCCATGTCCACTCTGCCCCAACAGAAGTTCATCGCCACTATCCCGCTAGTGATGTATCTCAGTGGTTTCTTCTCCTCCTTCCTCATGAACCCGGTCAACAAGTGGATCGGGAGGAATGTGAGTGTGCGGGTTGGTGGGGGACAGTGTGGGGATGCCACAGATAAGGACCCTCAGAACTCAGATGCATAGAACCCAGGTGATTCCATATCTCAGCCTCCACACCTTGTAGATGCCCTGTGTCTTAGACCCATGTTCTAGAATCCTGGCTTCTGAGTGTCTTGGGGCTGCAGAGCTCTAGAAATTTCTGTGCTGACCAGTGTGCTAGCCAAGGTGGCTACTGAGTACTTGAAATGTGGCAGGTACAAGTGAAAAACTGAATGTTTCATTTTATTTTGATTTGCACTTAAGATGTAAAAAGCCACCTGTCTCTAGAATGTCAGCTCCCAGGTTACGTCAGAGCTGGGGGCTCCTTAGGGATGGTCCAACCTCACTCTCTGGGGTTAAGGGCTGGGGTGATAGATTGCACAGTGAGGCGAGCCTGTTGCTGGTCTCCCTTGCAGATGACGTACTTCGTGGGCCTTCTGGTGATCCTGGCCTTTGCGGCCTGGGTGACGCTGGCAGATGGGCTGGGTGTGGCTGTGTATGCAGCAGCTGTGCTGCTGGGCACAGGCTGTGCCACCATCCTTGTCACCTCACTGGCAATGACAGCTGATCTCATTGGCCCCCACACGGTAGGGCTGGTGGGCAGGGCCGGGTGGGAGTTGGGGCCCAGGGCCCAGGCCATGGGTGCTGACCTCCCTGCCTATGTCCCCCCAGCACAGTGGAGCCTTCGTGTATGGTGCCATGAGCTTCTCAGATAAAGTAGCCAATGGGCTGGCAGTCATGGTCATCCAGAGCCTGTACCCCTGTTCGTGAGTGTGACTCATTAGTTCATTTAACAAGAGCAAACTAAATGTGTGCTGTGTGCCAGGTACTGCTCCAGGTCTAGGGTATTGGGGGAATGTGAGTGGGCAATACTACAGGGAAGCCAGAATCTATGTCACTCAGACACTCAGAACCTGGGGTTTCAGACCTGGATGATTCTAGACCACCGAGTTCTCACCTTATAGAAGCCCAGGATATGGGAACCAGAACCAGCCTGGTCCTTTGTCATCAAGGAGCTGTAGGTAATACCAGCCATGTTAATCACAGAAATAAATGTGATCCAGACCATTGGCCAGGGGTGTGAAGGACACCACATATGGAGGCCTGACTGGTGCAGGAGGTCAGGGAGGACTTACTTGAGGAGGTGACATTGGTCCTGAGACCTGGTGGTTACCAGGGAGTTCTAGGCAAATGGGAAGGAATAACCAGTGCAAAGGCCCTGGGGCAGGACCAGGCCTGGTGTGTTGGAAGACCACAGTGGAGGCCCATGTAGCTGGAGCAGAGTGAAGGGCAGACAGGGTGGGGAGAGGTTGGGGGCAAGTTGTGCAGAGCCTGTGGAGGGCTTGGGCTTTTACCCTAAGGGAGTTGTGAGCCCTGGAAGGCTGTGAGCAGAGGAGGAGAGGCCTGACTCAGGTACTCATAGGCACCCTCTCGGGGCTGCCCCTGGAAGGACAGTCTGTGGAAGGTGAGAGCTGGAGCCTGGGGACTGGGGCAGAAGCCTGTACACTGGTCCAGGTGGGTGATGATGGACTGGACCAGGTGGTGGTAGAAGAGGGGGAAGCAGTAGGCAGAATCAGGATAGACTTTGAAGGCATAGCTGGCAGTATCTGCTGAAGTGTCAGATGTGGGGGGAAAAAGGGGTTGAGGGCGACCCCCAGGTTCTGGCCTGAGTGCTGAGAAACACAGGGCTGCCCAAAGCTGAGATGGGAGGAGTGGGAGGTCCAGGCTGAGGCTGGAGCATCCCCACAAGTGTCCGCTTACCTGCTCTATCCTCCCCTACCCCAGCTCGGAGCTCTGCTGCAGGGCCTGCATAGGCTTCTACCACTGGGTGATGGTGGCCGTGACAGGTGGTGTAGGCGTGGCTGCCACCCTTGCTCTATGCAGTCTCCTCATCTGGCCCATCCGCCTGCGGAGCTGTGAGTTATAGACACCCCCCTCCATTCCCAACCTGGCCTTGAGTGGGAGGGCTGGGGCAGGCTCTATGCTCACTAACTCCACCCCTACCCCTCTCTTGCAGGAGCCCCTGGAGCCCCACCCTGACATTCCCCCAGGGCCTCCAGCCCTATGCAAATGAGCTGCAACTGTGCATATTCCATGCCCTGCTCCTCAAGTCCCTCCCCTCCCCTTCCTTGCCTGGCTGCAGGGATGGTGGATAAGAACATGATGGGCTGGACCCCATCAGCTCATCTCCGCTGGGCGAGACACATAGTTAGGCCCTCTGGTATCCAGGGGCCCATGGGTCTTCATGGTTTGGGGGTGCCTAAGCCTAACTCTAATACGTGACTTGGGGTGCCTTCGCTATGTTGCATGGGGGCAGGATGTGAAGGTCCTAGGGTCCAGGGGCTGCCCTGAGCTCAGCTCCAGCTCCACCTCACCATTGGCCCAGCTGGGGGTCTCCAGGGCACTGCTGACAGTGAATAAAGAGCCACTCACGGTAAGGACTGGCCTCAGCTGTCTTCCTGGGCCGGGGTTGGGGAGGGCAGCAGGGGCCCTTGTCCTGGCCTCTGCTCTAGTCACTGGGATCTTGGCTATAACTCCCTTGCCTGACCTATCAGTACCCCAGTCCCCAGATGTGAACAGACACCTGAGGAGTGGCACACCGTCCCCACAGAGGGACGGTCTTTATCAGGCAGTGGGCATATAGATGGGTGGGGACTGCTGGCCAGTGGATGGGCAGTAGGGTTCCAGGTCCCACTGCCGGTAGTTCTGGGCTGTGTAGCGCGGACGCTGCAGTGCTGACAGGTAGGGTACGTAGTCTGACTCCTGCCCCAGCGGTTCTACCCCATATTGGTGCCTATTGACCACTGTGGAACAGGACCCAGGTCAACCTCCTGGCTCCAGCTTCCTGGACCCAGGCAGTTTTACCCCCATCCCTTGGCCTCACCATATTCCTTGCCCCAGATGGGCCTGTCTTTCCACAGCATGGTCCCCCACCGTGTGCTGGGAGCCTTGTACTGGGCAGGCATGATGGGGTCATACCAGGCGGTCTCCTGGAGGCACTGGGTTTGGGCTGTAGGGAGAGTAGGGGAGGTCATCTCTGGACCTTAACCTCCACTTGAGGCTGGCATGGGGAAAGGCAGGCGGCCAGGCACTCACCTGAAGGCATGCTGTGCTTCCGGTGGCTGTAGCATCCATACCAGTGGGCATAAGCCTCCCGGTAGGGGCTGTCCAGGGCCCTCGGGAGCGTGTACCAGGCTTCACGGAAGTCTGAGTTGATTAGGCCAGTGTACCATGGCTGGCCAGCCGAGTCACGTCCCATGGGTGTGTACTTCCAGCGCACTGCCTGCTTGATTGCTGGTGCCCAGCGGGGGCCCTCCAGGGACAGGTAGTCATCACTAAGGGTCAGGGTAGGGGACAGAGGCTAAGCCTGATTTTCCCCTGCCCCTCCCTGGGCCACAGAATGGGTCTTTTACGCTCATTGCCACATGTTGTGACATGGAGGGTGGGTGCAAAGGCCCGGCCCACACTGCAGAGGACCTTTCTCTATCTCCACTTAGCCACATGTCCTTCAGCACCAGACACTCCTGCCCAAGGTAGCAGAGGAGAGGCTCCCTCCTCTCTGCCCATCTTCCCCAGGATCCTCACTAAACTTTTCACCTTTTCTTGCTTCTCCCCCAGGGGACACCAGGGGGCAGGGATGTAAAAGCTCTGGCCACTCCTGGGGTCCTAAGTCCTTGTCCAGCCTGCCAGATGCACAGGCTCCTTCCTCCAGGAAGTCCCTTGGCCTGAAGGTACACCAGGAGGAAGTGGTCTCAGCTGAGTGAGTGACCCAGAGAGAGCATGGGCTCCTGGGAAGACCTGGGGGGGGGGGTGACCCTGTGTCATCATCCACCCAATCATCAGGGACCAGCTGGGAGTGAGGACGAGCTTACATTTAAAGGACAAACTGTAGCTACACATTCGTGCCTATTCCAGGGGGCATCTCTGGTGTCAAGACCTGTTTAGGCTGAGAACACGGGAGGGCTTCCTGGAGGAGTGGGGGGAGGAGGAGGTCTACTTCAGGTGAGGGGAGTAACATGTGCAAAGGCCCTGGGGCAACACAGGATGGTTTAAGGAACAGAGAGGCTGCAGTGCAGAGGTTAATGGAAATATGAGAATGATGGCAAATATTAAACCTCAATGAGGTGCCATTAAAACTAAAACTAAAAAAAAAGCAAAGCCCTGGCCAGATAGCTCAGTTGGTTAGAGCGTTGTCCCCATATGCCAAGGTTGCGGGTTTGATCCCTGGTCAGGGCACATACAAAAATCAACCAATAAGCCTGGCCAGTGTTGCTCAGCGGTTGAGCATTAACCTATGATCCAGGAGATCCCGGTTTGATTCCTGGTCAGGGCACATGCCTGGGTTGCGGGCTGGATTCCCAGTAGGGGACGTGCAGGAGGCAGCTGATCAATGGCTCTCTTATCATTGATGTTTCTATCTTTCCCTCTCTCCCTTCCTCTCTCTGAAATCAATAAAGACATATTAAAAAAAAAAAAATCAACCAATGAATGCGTGAGTAAAACAACAAATTCATCTTTCTCTCCCGACCTTCCTGTCTAAAATCAATTAAAAAAAACACACAGAAAAAACCCAAAGCTGTTGACATGAAGCTTCAGGGGAACTTGTTTAAGCAGAAACCCCAAATGGCAGTTCCTTCTGGAATGCATCCTAATAACCACTGCCTGAGAGGCAAAGATGTGCGTGTGCTCTGACCTGGTGAGCTTGCTCCTGGAAAATCACCTGTGGATGAGATTGGATGCCCAGAAATGGGCCCAGCAGGACCACTGACAAAACACTTTAATCTCTGCCATGCACGGAGAACCTGGCTGAGTTCTCCAGTAGATTTGATAGGAGCATCAAAACTAGAAACATGTCTCATGAGCCTGTTAGGCTCTGGAACATGTCTCAGAAACCTGAGGTAGACTCGATTTGCCACCCAAATGGACATTTCAGGGTCACCTGAGGTGCCCCACTCTTTTGAGACAGATTTCTGAACTGCAAAATGCAGTTTGTAAAATATAATCAACATGCCCTAATGTAATACAAAATGAACACTGAGTGTCCCCTTACCCCAGCCAGCAGCCTGGACCTGGGCTGCCACTTTAATTTCTGCCTTATTCCAGAATTGGGCAGTGCGTGCATGTGACCCTACTAGTACAGAAATGTGGGAATTTGCAGTTTCACTTCTTTTTTTCTTGTAAATGGAGCAGCACAAAGGGCACTTACTCATCTGTTTTTGATTTTACAGTTGCAGAGTAATAACTCACTGAAACAGTCACTTATTAATGGGTACTCTACTGGGTTGAGTGTCCCCCACTATTTATGTCCACCTGGAACCTCACAACATTAACTTACTTGGAAACAGGGACTTCTAGCAGATAGAATTTGTTAAGATGAGGTCATAGTGGGGTAGGGTGGGCCCCGGTATCCTTGTAAGGAGAGTGGAATCTGGACACACACACACGGGGTCATGGGACGATGGAGGCATAGGTAGGGTAATATGTCTACAAGCCAAGAGACACCAAGAATTGCCAGTAAATCACCAGAAGCTAGGAGAAAATGGAACAGATTTTCCCAACCAGTCTCAGAAGGAACTAGCCCTGCTGACACATTGATCTTGGACTTCTGGCCTCCAGAACTGGAAAAGAATAAATTTCTGGTATTTAAGCTGTCCAGTGTGTGGTGGTCTTATTACAGCAGTATCTAGGAAACTCCTATATACTTTGTTTCTCAGTTGCTGTGTGGGTGTGTTGTGCCCACAGTGAGCAATCGTGTGACAATCACGTGTGACTTGTGCACCTGCCAGTGTCCAAGCTTGCCTTGCTCTGATGCCGGCAAGGAGGGTACCCAGGTGCAGGTGGGTGGGAGGAGATGCAGGGAGCAGATGATCGAGGGTCCAGCACCAACATGCGTTTTTTGAAGTATTAGACACTTGGGAAAAGCCAAACCAAATCCGTCACTCGACCCAGAGAGGCCGAGTCTGGGGGTGGGGTGGACACTCACCTGTAGAGAGGTGCCGGGAAGTCCACTTCAAGAGTCCCTTGGGGGACATAGGGCTGGGTAGGCCCCTGCCTCAGGGTCTGCATGTCTGTTTCTGGGTTCCTGGGTGCTCCTGCCTGGGCTTGTGAAGCCATTGTTGACAGCAACAAAGGCCATCCTCTGTGTCCTGGCAATGCTACTGGTGGCCTTGGTTCCCATCCAGGTCACTCCCTCCCACCCCAGCTAAAGGGCTGAAAGAAGGAAGTGGGGCCATACGTAGCTGGCTTGGGGCTCAGTGTTCTGCCCCCTGCCCCATATCTCTACATGGGGGTCTCTGACTCAAAGGGAGCTTCTGAAGCTTAGGCCAGGATGGCCAGTCCCCAATCCTTCCTTTCTCACCGAACCCCCTTCTAGTCCTTCATGTTTCCAAAATACATCAGAGCAAAAACCTGCAAACGAATGTTCACAGCAGCATGACACACAACCACCAGGAAGTGGAAAAAACCTAAATGCCCACTGACTAAATAAAATGTCACCCATCCACTTTGCTGGAATATTACTCAGCCATGAAAAGGAGTCGAAGCACTGGCACTTGCTACAATGCGGGTGGACCTTAAAAACATGATGCTCAGTGAGAGAAGCCAGACACAAAAACACTGTGTGATTCCATTTATGTGAAATGTCCAGAACAGGTACATCCAGAGACAGAAAGTGGGCTCATGGTTGCCAGAGGCCGAAGGTGACTGCTAACGAAGATGTTTCCTTTTTGGGGTGACAAAATGTTCTGGAATTAGAGGTGCTGTTTGCACAAAATTGTGAATGCACCAAATGCCACTGAAATGTTCAATTTAAGAAGGTAAACAGTAAGTTATGCATATTTTACAATTAAAAAGTTAACAAAATGCAGAACCTACCCTCTTTTCACCATTTCCACCGGGTCCTGGCCAGTCATGTCATCACCGGCCTGGCAGAGCCTCCCCGGTGGCCTCTGTGCACCCATACACCAGTGGTCAGGTCTCCACATAGCAATCTTTTTCCTTTTCAACTCAGGACACGGGCTCCCACCTCCCTCAGGGTAGAGACCCAGGTCGTTCCCACAGCCCACCCACGAGGCCCGGGCCCCTCTCTTCCCTCACCTCCTCCCTTCCTCCCCTCACCTGCTCACTCTGCTCCAGCCACAAGGGCCTCCTCGCTGTTCCTCCAACACAGCAGGAACCTTCCTGCCCAGGACCTTTGCATAGGCTGGAAAGTCCTCTGCCCAGGTGTCTCCTGCTCGTCTTTGAGCCCTTGCTCAAACATCAGGTTTGTAACAGGCCCTGGATTCAAAACTGTCCTTTCCTAAAGCCTCCTACCTCTGTCACAACACACACTTTCCTCTCACATCCAACAGAAGCTTCATGAGGGCTGGTCTTGGGACTTGGTCTGCTTTGTTGTCACCTGAAGGGAACGGTCTGTGGTGCTCCACCAGTCATGGGCAGCTGCAAGGTCTGCTGGTCTCTGCCCTGAGCTGCACTGGCCTCTGCCTCACCCTTAACTCCCCTTTCCCCTTTATGAAAAAGCTACATTCAATAATCAAAGGACGCCTGACAGACCATGCCCCACCCCACCCCACCCTTCAACCTTGCCCAAGTGCGGATGCTGGGTGGGCAATGCCCCTGCTGCTGACTTCGGTCATGTCAGGTGGAGGTGGCAGCAGTGCCTACCCTGCCTGAGAGCTCCTGTGCAGTGTGCAGCCCCCCAACAGGCTCTCCTCATTGCATGTAGAGACCACCACCCAAGCGCTGTGGGCACCTCTTCCCAGCTAGGCTGCAAGGACTGGGGTCACCCTCACCCCCATTAGACCACAAAGTCAAGGACACTGGCATCCCTCAAAGACAGCTCACCCAGGGCAGTTTGCTCACCACCTGTTTGTGACATTCAGGCTGGTCTGGGGCCCTGGGTATGTGCAGATTGGAACTGTCAGCCACCCCCGCCAGGGACCAGCCAGCCAGCTCGCCCTAGTCGTGCATGAGCCCACATCTGGTTTAATGACAATGATATTATACTGTATTAGATGAGAAATAAGGCTCACTCTGCAGTCCACCAGACTCAGAGGCAGGGGAATACACATTTTGCAACCTCTCTGTTGTCTCAACTCCCAGGCACGGGTCCTACACACAGAGCCAGCTCCTGGGCTCTTTGGCAGCTGCACAGGGTGAGGGTGTGGTATGGAAGGACCATTTTCTTATTCAAAAAAAGACTCAAACAAAAACAAGATATCGACCAATCAAAATACATCTATGTACACTGTCCTTGCTCAAGGCTGCGGCACAGATGCTGGGATGGGGCAGGGGAGGCAGGGTCCCACCCTTCCCCAAGTCCAAGCAGGTTTAGCTGATCACCCCTCCTAAATGAAGGCTTTAAAAAGCTAATCCCTGTCACCCCTAGGCATAGTGGGTGGGCCATGCCCCTCCCTGGCTAGCCTTAAACATTTCTGGGACTCATCGACAAACCACAAAGCAAACCCAAAGAAAAGTCACAAATACATATATACACATGCACACGCATGGCCAATTGCAGGGGGAACACTAAAGGAATGGGGCCTAGAAGCAGAGCCAGAGTGATCACCACCCTGCCCCAGGCCTGCTCTGCACAGTCCAATTCCTGTCATTGTCCCCCATTCTGAGGGGTAGTGGGATGGGAAGCGCTACTCAGGCCCCTGGCCACACCTGGGTTCACCTCTCCCCCTCTAATTTCTCCAGGTCTGGAAGTGAGGTGGTGTCCAGGTACAGCTTGGGTAGAGGACAGGATGGGGACAGGGTCAGGGAAAACCTGGAAAGCTTCTGGGGGACCAGTGGTTGCCCCCTCCCCTTGCTCTCCTCCCTGTCTAAACTGAGGTCATAGGCACAGTTGACAGGATACAATGGGATGGCCTGATGGGGAAGGAGCAGGGAAGGAGGGTTAGATACCACCCTTAGGTCACCTAGATCTGCTCACCCAGCAAGCTGTAGGAACCATAGTCCTGCTGGTGACAGAGCTCAGCTGTGTCCCTGTTAGTGACAAGGACAGTACAGGGTCAGGGCAAGCACATGACGACGAGTGGGCCGACTTCAGTTTTCCTCGAACAAGTCCATCTTGAGATGACCTCCTCTGGTGCACAGCCTGCCTGGGGCCTGGCCCCTAGCAAAGTCACTGGGATGGCTGCCAGCACAGGGACAGCAGAAGTGGCCGCAAAGAGACCTATCAGGAGTGTCCTGTGGATCCATGGGCTGACCTGAACCATCCTACTGCTGGGCCCTCCCCTGGCTGACCGGCTTAGCATCCAGCTGTTTGTCCTGTCGCAGGCCTGGGTGGTGGCCGTAGTGGTGAACCCATGCTTCCGGAAGAGCATGCAGCCCAACAAAGTGATGATGGACACAAAGGGAAGCAGGTGGGGGTCCAAGGAGGCGTCCATTCCCATCCAAGCGTAGACGGTCAGAGCTGGGGCTACAGGGCCACCCAGTGTGAAGGGAGCCAGAGCGCCTGGTACCTGCTGGTGCCCAACAACATCCCCACCCCAAACACCGCTGAAAGGGTTCGCAATCAGGCTTTAATGAGAATCTTCAGGGTCTCTCTGGGCCCGGTTCCCCGCCCACCCCGGCTGCTTCCTCTGGGGACATGTGCAGGGAGGGAGGGTCATGCACGTGATGACAGGTGGTGCTCCTCTGCCCTGATGGCTGGGCCCGTGGTTTACCGAATCCTGGTGAAGAGGTTGAGGACAGACACAGATTCCTGCAGGGTACACAGGAGAGAAAGCTGAGCCTGCAGCTGGAGGGGAACAGAGGCGTCAGGCAGGAGGAGGAGCATGAGTAGGCACCATTGTTCCCTGGTGCCCTGGCTGGGGGTGCAGAGTGATGCAGGAGCGGGGGTGGTGGTGGGGGGGGTGGTGCAGAGGGACTCAGGGGGAAGTTATAGTAGTTTGGTGAGCAGGGCTGCTCAGGTGGCAGTGGGGGACGGGCCCCAGGATTGCTGAGGGGATGTGCATGGGGGAACACCTGGCGCTGATACCGACCCACTTTACCTTTGTTGAACGGGTTTTGCTGAAGACATTCCAGAACCTCAGGGTTTCGTCTCCAGCACCAGTGACAATGGCCTCTCCATCAGGGGACATGGCCTGCAGCAGGAGAGATCCTCATTGTCCTTGTGCCTTGCAATTGGCCTCATGGATGGAGCCAATGATGGGGGGCAGGCGCAGGGGGGCCAGGCCCCCACCAAACCCAAAAACATAGGACACCCCAGCCCCTACCCAGGAGGGTAGGTCTATTCTGTGCACTTTGGCAAAGATACAACAGTTTAAGCACAGAACATTTCTTCTGGAAAGAGAAAAACACTTGAGAAAGGACTGTGTTTGGGGAGGGGCTCCTGTCCCCAGGCATATGCAAATATATCTGGTAAACTGTCCTCAGAGATTGTCTGAGTAGTTGGATGGGGGTTAGTTGTGCTTCTTTGTAAAGACAAACTCATGTGCGGAGATTCTCAGGAGGTCACAGCTGTCCTTCCTCACAAGGCTGGGGAGTTCAAGAAACTAGATCCAAAGTGATAACACAACCAACGTTTGAAAACAGAACACGGGAGCTGTCCTGGATGACCTCACCCTCCACCCCATAGACCCAAGATGGGGAGGCTGCCAGCTGGTTCTGCACCCTGCCTTCCCAGGGGCCCAGTGCTGGGTCTGGGACCTGCCAGTGCAGACTCACCAGGTACAGAACTCGGTAGGAGTGCCCAGTCAACTTGGCCACCTGGGTCAGGGATGGGTACTTCCAGACCAGGATCTGGTTTTGTGAGTAGCCATGCGTGCTAACCTGAGGGATAGAGAAGGCACTGTCAGAACCTGAGGCTCCTCTCCCACGATGCCAGGGCTCAGACGCAAGCCATCCACTCCCCCTGATGCACCCACTGCAGAGCAAGGATACCTGGATCCACCCAGCCCCTTGCCCCCAAACTCTGGTTGATGACGAGGGTGACGGAACTACACTGTACCCAGAGCTCAGCCAGCCTCTGCTGGTGGTCAGTAGGCATGGACGCCNTCAGCCAGCCTCTGCTGGTGGTCAGTAGGCATGGACAGATTAGGGGCAGGCACTTCTGGACTGACCTGGGTGGCAGGGGCCTGACTTCACCCCAAGACCCCAGGGAAGGGCTTGCTGGGGCCCAGAGCTCCTGCTTCTGCACCTTCTCGTGCACACCACAAGGGCCCTGCCATGACACTCACCAGCTCGTTGGCGTGCTTGGACCAAGCCAGGTTGCACACCTGGGAGCCTGTGTCGATGCACTGCAGCGGCTGCCCTGTGAGTGTGTTCCAGAAGCGGATGCAGCGGTCGGCTGTGCCACCGCCGGATGCCAGCAGCCCATGCTGGTGTGGGGACCAGGCTATGGCCTTCACGGCCGCCAGGTGCTCTGTATACTGCTGCACAGGACTCAGGCTCGAGTGGTTCCAGACCAGCAGCTAGGGGGGCAGCAGCTGTGAGGCCCCCAGCTGCTGTGGCCCCCAGGGGGAGGATGAATGACTTCACTCCAACCTGTCATGGTCCTCCCTCAGGGCACACCCTTGTCACCCCTGCTCTATGGATGAGGGCTGGCCAGGTGGGTGGGATAATCTGAAGGCCAGGTCAGTGAGGGGCCAAGGGTGTCTACCTTGTTGTCGTTGCCTCCTGAGGCGAGAAGCTGGTGGTCGGTGGACCACTTGAGCCCGCACACCTCCTGTCGGTGGCCCTGCAGCCGCCGCTCTGACTGCAAGGGCGGGGTACGTATGTCCCTTTGCAGGATCATGCGATCCCGGCTCCCAGACGAGAGCTGGTCGGCATTCCAGGCCAGCGCCCCTGGAAGCCAGGCAGAAGGCAGGGTGAGGCCAAGGCCTAGCTTCTCAGAAACAGGGTGCACTGGAAATGATCACTTCCTCATGTCTAGAATCACTCCTACACACTGGAATCACACCCACCCATCAGGACCCTGGGCTCCTCACCAACACGTGCTGTGTGGCCTTCCAGCATGGAGAGCTTCTTTCCCGCAGCTGCATCCCAGATCTGCACAAAGCCTTTGTGCGTGCCGACAGCCACCAGGTTCCCCTAGGACAAGGACCCGGGCAAGAGCAGGCATCAGGCCCAGGTGTGGGGACCCAGCCTCTCTGGGTTCTCTCCTCCCTGCTCCTTGCTACAGGGCCTTGGGGCCATTTCTTTAAAATATATTTAATGTGTGTCCCTTCAGATCAAGGTGACACCTGCCATGACCTGGAACTTACTGGGGAGATGGTCATATAATGCTTGGGTTTGTCAAAATCCAGCCCCCACACACTTAAGACCCATGCATTTCAATGTGTGGACTTGCCTGTCTGAACCTGGGTTGCCCCCTGGCTGGGGAGCGGCTCTCTGGGGCCTGTGGTTAATCCTGTGTCTCTGTGGGGGAAGTCCTGCCAGCAACCATGTCACTGTAACACTCTCTACCAAGCTTGGAACAGGTGGGATGCAGACATCACCCTATGGCTTGAATAAGACCTCCAGGCTGGCCCTAACTGGTTTTGCTCAGTGGTTAGAGAGTCGGCTTGAGGACTGAAGTGTCCCAGATTTGATTCTGGCTCACCCTGGTTGGGGTGCATGCAAGGGGCAACCATGTTGATGTCTCTCTCTCACATCAGTGTTTCTTTCTCTTTTCTCTCTCTCCCTTCCACACTCTGAAAAGCAATGGAAAAAATATCCTCGGGTGCGGATTAAGTAAAAAGACCTCCAGGCTGGGTTCTGGCTACTCTGGGTCTTCCCAGCCCCCAAACATTGTGGAGGGCCCTTGCCAGCATGGCCCAATCAGAGTTCCCCTGCCCAGCCCAGGAATGAGCCCTGTATACTAACCCGCTCAGACCAGCCCACGGAGGTCACCGAGTCCCCTTCCACAGAGAGGTCACAGAGCCGGGTCACCTGGGGGAAGGAGGGAGCAGTCGGTGTGAGCTGATATGCTGCCCGCTGATCCTTCAAGGCCCCGACCGTCCATTTGTCCATTCATCCATCTGTTCATTCATTCATTCATTCAGTCACACCTCAGGCCTACGGGCAGTGGTGTTAGAGCTGGCACCTGAGATAATGATGCTGGAGTGCCCAGGAGGCTGCAGGCTGCAAGGGGACACATGCCGGCACAGGAATGAGTGACTACAAAGTCTGGGGAGGGATGCTCAGGTGGTGAGGGCACCACATAGATGCATCACACACCTGGGGGTTCTTCCAACAGGTGGCAGCCCTCTCCAGCAGGGAACCCAGTTGCATTAATCTCTGAAAATGTCCCGTCCTGGTGGGCAGTGCCTGAGCCCACAGTGGGCCTAGCAGCACGTCATAGTGAGTGCTGAGGGTGGGGTGGGGTAGCCCAGCCCCCAGGTTCAGGCAGGCCCAAACACCCATCTCCCCTCCTCTGCAGACACGGGCAAAGGCCGAACTCAGGCAGGGAGCAGGGACTACCCGTCATCACAGGAGACAGCCTACAGCAGGAGGGGTATAGGGGCCTCCGCTCACACCTGCTGACTATTCCTGAGTTCCAGTCTGCACTTGGAGGGTGGGCCTCGGGGGAGAAAGAGTGGCCAGGTGCTGCCGTGGGCCCTGGAGCACCTAGCCACACTCATTCTTCACATGGGCTGGCTCAGCTCAGGTGCTGGAGGAAGCCAACCTGCACCTGAGGCGCGCGCGCGCGTGCGCGCGCACACACACACACACACACTTGCAGACACTGGGGCACCCACCTGGCTGGTGCAGGCACTCCACAGGTATACACAGGTGCCCAGCCCCACACTGAGCACATTGAGAGATGACCAGTCCACCAGGTTCAGGTAGAAGTCGTCCTGCAACTCGGGTGCGTCCAGAACCTTGAAGGGGATCTTAGAGATCTTGCGGGTAGGTTTCCGTGGTGACCGCAATAACTTCTGACTGTAGGGAGAGCCCGAGATGGTGATTTTCTGTCAATCAGTCACATGGTTATCATTACTCCTTGGCTAATGTTACTACTCCTGGTTCACATTAGTTCTTGGTGTATCTCTTCCCTCTCATCTTGCCCCTCTGCCCATGTGATCCCAAAACCATGGGTGACCCCAAAACCATGGGTGAGCCCATGGGCACTTGCCCCTGGGTGTTTGGGCACTTGCCCCTGGGTGTTTGGCCACCCCAAGCCTCGACAGCCATGCTGTCCCCTCTGCATGGCACCTCCTTGAGAGAGCCCTCCCTGACTCCCCCTACCCCAGAAAGGACACAAACCTTCAGGCTGACAGTGTGCCCCAGTGAGGGGTCCTAGGACTAACTGCAGCCCTCATGTACTGCCTGGTTGCCCACCCAGCCCTGTCCCCACCCTTGAAGACCCTGACTCACCTTTTGTTGCTGACTGGTGACAAGGAGTAGGGAGACACGTCATTGCCGTCATCAGGGCTTGAGCGCTTGGTACTGAGGGAATACTGGAAGGGGGTGGGCACACACCTACTGAGTGCACACTGTGGCTCCAGAGCTCAGAAACCTCAGACCCAAAGCTTAGGTGCCCTGAGCTCATGGCTGGGTGGGAGAGTAGGGGGGTGGTATTTGCCCTAACCAGGAGGACCTCTAACTGGGGATGTCTTGGGTTCCGGGGAACTCAAAGAAGCAAACCAGGACTCCTCTCAGCCATGACTGCCAGCATGCTCTTGTCCCCATGCAGCCACCAGCCCCTCAGCCACCTTGAGGGACAGAAGCCATGCTCTTTTCCAACACTGCCAGGGGCCCCCATGACCTGGGATGGCTTGGACATGTTCTTTGGGGCAGCACTTCTGAAACCATTGCCCCTTCATCCTGCAACCCAGCACCTGCCCCAGGGTAACCTTTGTCTCAGCAGGTGCCCAGGAGGGCCACAGGGGAAGCCTTGGGGTTAAAGGGGCCTAGCCCTGCCTTCTCCCACCCTCTCTGGAGTTCAAGGCTCCAGCCGTGCTGGTGTGTGGAGGAGCCCAGGGAAGCTGAGGCTGGTGTCCTGAAGGAGCCTCCACACAGCACAGGAAGCCAGGGATAGGGGCTGAGCCTGGGTCAGTCATGGAGGACAGGGACCTCTATCCCCAGTGGGAAGCATTAGTCATTGTGGGCATGGGTGGCAGGCTCACCGTGAACAGGCCCTTCTTCTCAGGCGTGGAAGGCTGCAGCCTGCGGTCCTCTGTCTGCGGGTCCTGCACCTTCTCGATGCCGGCCCCTAGCAGTTCATTCTTCAGCAGGGCTGAGTAGGCCAGGCCATCTGCGGGCACCAAACACATTGAGAGGCTATGGTGGGATCAGGCGAGGGGGTGAAAAAGGGTGTCTGGGGCCCTGACTCCTGACCTTTGCCATTGTCCGAGGTGGCATCCTTGGCTTTCCGGTTCTGGCTGGGAGACTTCTCATTTTCCTGCAGGAGAGGAAGGGAGAGGAAGGGAGAGGAAGGGAGAGGAAAGTGGGGTGAGCTGGAATGGCCTGGCTCCACCCCAGGCTTTAGGGTCAGTGGTCCTTTTCCCCTGACCCTCCCTGTCCTCTGCCCTCACATTGATCCTGTGGAAATTGACACTCCAGTTGGCACCGGCTCTTGAGGGGATGAAGCGGTCCCCATGCTTGCTGGGGGAGGACACGGGGGAGTTGGTAGGAGTCAGGGTCCGCCGCATCTCTGAGACCTAAAAGGATGGCAGGGTGGGGTTGGGTGCCTTAGAACTCCAGCCTGACGCACCCTGCCTGCTGCACTTGGCCTCTGAACAAGGGGTTCAATCTTCAAACCCCAGGGGCATTGGTAAAACATCTGGGTAAATAACTCATATGCTGAACGCTGCTGGCAGCTTTGTGAGGAAGAAAGAGGCCAGGGAGCAACAGAGTCCGAGACATTAGCACACTTCGAGGTGGCTTTATTTCTAAGTAATCACAGGGAACAGGAAGTTGTAAGTTTATTCCCTGAGCACCAAGAACCTGTTGCCCCATCACCTCCACTTCCTGCACATGGGGATCTTCTCCCATAGAACAATAACCCAACAACCTGAACCAAAACTCGAAGGCAGATACATAGCTTCCAGCTAACCCTCTGACCTGACTCAATTATCAGGCGAATGTCCTTAATCTATAAGTAATCTGCTGTGGGTTGAACTGTGTCTCCCAAAAGCATATGTTGAAGTCCTAGGCTCTAAAATGAATGCTCAGTGTCCTTAAGAGTCAGAGACACTGACACAGAAATGGGGATGTGAAAATGAGGCATAGACTGAAGTGATGGGTCTAAAAGTCAAGGATTGCTGGCAAAACCAGAAGCTAGAAGACACAGGAAGGATCCTCCCCAGGCACCTTAGCCCTGTCATCCCTGCTCCATATACTCCTGGGTCCCAACACAGGTTGTGGGGCCAGGATTGAACCCCAGCTTCATGATACTGGGCTCTTCACTGCCCTGTTGGGAAAATGGAAAGGTGGCTCACATCCCCTTATCCCCAAGCCAGTCCTAACTAGGGCCTCAGGAGAAGAGCTGGTGCCCCCTGCAAACCAGGAGGCACAGGCCCTGAAAATAATAAGGGGCCACCAGCAGGAGGAGGGGAAATGCAATGAAGCTCTGGTGGCTTTTCACTTGCACAGCACCTCCCTCTGTTTGCTGAGGGCTGAAGCCCTGTGGCCAACCACACCCCCCAACCCCATCTCCCTACCATCTCCACTGGGCCAGGCCAGCACTGGCAGGGGTGACCACCGGGTACTCACACACGGCATCGTATTCTCGTTCTGGATGACAATCTGCCGAAGGAGGCGCCGCTCGTAGTCCTGGTCCATGGTGAGGCAGGGCAGGTATGGCTGCCAGCCAAGTCAGCCCGCCAAAGTTAGCCTGGAGGGGAAAGGGCAGGACAGCTCAGCACCAGTGGGCAGCAGCCCCCACCACCACCTAGTGACCACAGGGTGTTCCTCAGGAATGGCCGAGTTCCCCTATCATGTGGGGGGCCCTCCCTACCAGGAGACCAGAGCTTGGGCTTGGCCATACCCCAGAGGCCCTGGAAGTCAGAGGGAGATACAACCAGGACAAACAGGACTCCTCTCTACTTCCTCTGTCGGAACCTTCTGACAGGGCCCTTCACTTTTGTTCTGCTAGGGCAAGGCTGCCTCCATCCCTGCCCCCCAAGGGCTTGCCCCGGTTCCCTGACTCCTCCAACCCAGGGCTCCCATCTCATTGCCTTCCTACTTCAGACCCTCTGAGACCATTAGCCATCCAAGGGACCATGTCCCTGCTCTTTGGCCCCAAGAGGGAGGCATGAGGCTGGGCAAGGGCTGGGGTGGTACCAGCAAGGATTCCTCCTCAGCAGGGCAGCTTGTGTGTCCTGATGCACAAAACAGATGTGGGTCAATACACTCCACAGGCATCTGCCAGAGCTGACTGGGTACCAGGCCCTATGCAGGCACTTGGGCCCTAGGACAAGACCAGGGAGACCAGGTCGTGGCCCAGGGAAATCAGCCTCCAGCTTCCACCCAGCTCCCACTGAGCTCTACCCAACTGGAGAGGTCTCTCTGAGGAAGTGGAGTGAGAGATCACCAGCAAAAGGAGGACAACATTCTAGAGAGGGAAGAGCAGGGCTGTGTGTGTTCCAGGATGGGGCATAGATGAGTGGCAGCCTCAGAGAGAAGGACTGTTCTTTACAGTGGGGATGGGAAACCAGGGCCCAAGGAAAAACTAGACCCACAGCCACACCTCTAGCTGCTTTCAGAAGAAAATGTTTGCCAGTCCTGCCTCCTCTCAAGGCACTGCAGAACATGGAGGGTAAAGCAGGTTTCCAGGACAGAGCGTGGCACAGAAGAGGTCAGCAGACTGCAGCTTCTTGCTCTGGGCCAGCTCTGCACCCTAGAACCCCCTCCCAAGTTACTGTCTCACTACTCCTCTGTCTGGAGCCCAAAGGTCCACACTGTGAGATATTTAGGCAGGTCTGCCTAAGTTCTATTTTCACATTCCCAAATGATGTCTCTGATGACTTCTTGGGCCAATCACAGAGACCATGCATACTGTGTGGCTAAAGTACCAGCTCTAGCCTGCCAGGTCCTTGTCTCTCACCTCTCATTACTGGATACATGGGGCTGCCTTGATGTGGCCCAGTCCTGAAGCCAGACACTTGGTCAAAATGCAGAACACAGCCATTGGTCACCACAGTGTGTCCCTGCCACATCCCACGTTAGCGGGCTTGCATGTTTTAACTCATGCTCCTCCGGCATGGCATCATGAACTGGGTGCCCACACCCTTGTGCAAATGAGGATGTGCAGACCAAGCAAGGTGCAGCAACACACCCAGTGTGTCCATGGCCCTCCCTCCACAGCCCAGGGCTCTTCTGAGCCTGTGCTAACCTGGAGCCCCAAGCCGGTGCTAGCTTGGAGTCCCGAGCCCCACTGTCTCCTACCTCAGCAGACAGCAGGCCTCTTGCTTTGATGAGAAAAGTGGGACTGCAGCACCTTAGTCCCCCCCCATCTTGGGTAAAGCTCTGGGAGCAGCCACCCCCTTCTTGGCTACATTCTTCCTGAAGGGGCTGATGATGGCTATCTCCCTCCTTCAGGCCTTCTTTATCTGTCTGGGGGCTGGGGCCACATCCTCAACCTCCTCCTCTTCCTGCCAGCCCAGCCCGGCCCTGCCTAGCTCACGGTCCACCCACTGGCTTGCCCCAGGATGTACCTGCCTCCTCCCTCCTCTTCCAGAATTCCCCCAAAGCCTAGGACTTGCCCAGCAACCCCCCCGCCCCCAAGTGTGCCCTCACCACACCTGACCACTCCTGTGGCAGCACAGCCATACTTGGGACACAGAGATGCCTGTGTCTGTCTGAGAGTCTGTCCCAGGTAGAGACACCTGTTCAAAAGGATAGTTTCCCAAGGGTGGGCCCAAATCATCTCAGTTCTGCATGCAAACCAGAACTGAGCTCCAGGTCCACTTTGAGCAAGCATCCTGTGAATGGGGTTCACAGCGGGCCAGACACTAAACAGAGCAGCCATGGCTCCATTCTAGTAAGTTCCGACCATCACTGGGCACTTTCCCAGACACTGACCAGTTGTCTGTCCTCCCACTTCGCAGATAAAAAACCCCACAAAGCTCAGAGAGGCTGGCTAACTTCCCCCATTGGCCCTGCCTAGAGCTTCATTTACCACCCACCAGAGTGAGCCCTCCAGAGACAGGGTGGAGGCCATGCCTTGGTCCCTGTGCTCTGCAGCTGCCCCTCTCCAAGGCTTCCAAACCTGCTGCAAGCCACTCAGCCACTGTTGCTGAAAGTGAACTGTTCCAGACAAAGTCAGTAACTAGCTTTCCTCAGGCAAGGAGGCTCAGGGCCAGGGGGTCTGGGGGAATGAGAGGCCTCCCCAGGAAAAAACCCTAGGGGCCTCGTTGCGGGGACTGGTCACACTGTGGGTAACAGTCGTCTAAACCTCTTGGCCCAGATGAGCTCAATTCCCATGGAGATCACTTCCATTCACAGACCAATGGCACTACGCTGACGCCGGCAGGGCTGGTCTGTTTTAGGACAGCAGGCCCCAGACAATAGCTTAGACACACTCTGCACATCAGACTAAGCAGCCCTAGCCAGTTTGGCTAAGTGGTTAGAAAGTCTGCCTGAGGACTGCAGGGTCCCGGGCTGGGTTCTGGCCAAGGGCATGTACCTCAGTTATAGGCTCAATCCCCGGCGCCGGTTGGGGCATGTGTAGGAGGCAGCCAATCCATGTGTCTCTCTCATATCAATGTTTCTCTCTCTCCCCCTTCCACTCTCTCTGAAAAGCAATGGGAAAAATATCCTCAGTGAGGATTTTAAAAAAAGAAAGAAATTAAGCAGAGCCCAAAATGCTGCAGTCATCTCAGAGACACAGAGTGGGAGACTGGTTTCCCAGGACTGGTTAAGAAGTTAAGTGCCATATAGCTAGCTGTGTGCTGAATCTGAGTCCAGAACAAATGTTGAGTGGCACGCCCTCCTGTCATCAGCGGATCAGCTGCCCCTGTCTATCCACTACATTCTGATGTGGCCGCTTACAGAAGCCCGTGTGGTGGGTGGCATCTCGCCATTTAGACGGCTGCTGAGGGCCAGAGAGGTTCTAGGCTGCCCACATGTGGGCATGTGGACATGTCACCTCGTGGCAAAAGGGACTTTGCAGATGAAATTAAGTCAAGGCCCCTGAGACAGAGAATGGTCCTGGAATCCCCGGAAGGCCCAGTGTCATCCCTATAACAGAGAGGCATCAGGGTCAGAGTGAATGATGGAAGAGGCTGCGCTGCTGGCTGTGAAGATGGAGGAAGGGGCCAAGAGCCCAGGATGCAGCGCCTCTAGAAGCTAGAAAAGGCCGGAAACTATTTTCCCCTGGAGCCTCTCGAAGGACCAGCCCTGCCCACATCTGAGTTTAGCCCCCTGTTGGAATTCGACCTTCAGATCTATGAGATAAATTTCTGTTGTTTTAAGCCACCAAATTTGCGGTGACTTGTTATAGCCGCTACAGGACGCACACTGGGGTAGGGCAGAGGAAGGCAGTGACCATGCTGTAGCCTTCTTTTATGGATCTTTCTGGGGGGTGGCTGCTGAGAGGGTACCTGAGATGCTTATGCTCAACATAGGCCTCTCTGTCCAGTCTTGTGGATAGTGAACAAACCCGTCTGTTTCATTTGTCTCTCCTTAACCCCCACTCCCTACCTCCCTGACTTACGAGATCCCTAAGTCTGTCAGAGAGGCAGTGGATCTTCATGCTGCCAACACATATATTTGCTGAGTACCTGCCCAGAGGCTTGGGATTAAGCAGGCAAAGATGCACATGGTCCCACACTCCTGAGCTTCTTTTGTATCAGGGGAAGCAGGCTAGAAACATGGAACTAGGTGAGGAACAATTTCCGGTGGTGGCACCTGCTGTCAGGAAGCACATTTAAAAAGTGGCTCCAGCCCAGCCGGTGTGGCTCAGCAGTTTAAGCATCAATCTATGGAGACTGTGGTTCGATTCCCGGTCAGGGCACTTGCCTGGGTTGCAGGCTCAAGCCCCAGTGGGGGGCATGCAGGAGGCAGCCAATTAATGACTCTCCCATCATTGATGTTTCTATCTCTGAAATCAATAAAGATATTTAAAAAAAAAAAAAAAGTGGCTCCAACATCCAGCTGTCTAAGGGCAAGTTGGAGGGAGTGGTGGTAGAGGGACACTGATCCCAGCACCCAGCCTGGGATGGTCTCTCCAAGATGAGGCAAGCACAGAGGGACCCACGGGGTGCAGGCACGGTGAAGGGGCTCCAGAACTAACTCGTTCCAGGCTCTGATCTATAACATCCCTGATGGGGTGAACCTTCCTGCTGGCCAGTGCAGATGCCAATCTTGTTTCTAAATTGACCTTCTACCCTCGGGAGCACCCCACCCCCACACACCTCACCAGGTATTCTTGATGAGAAGGTGGAGACAGACAAAGGTGGAGATGGGCAAAGACTAAGATCTCAGGAGAGTGATACCTAGCAGGTCCAATCAGCCACAAATTCACACCTAAACTGCATGACCCTGGGAAACAAACACACAACCAGGCCTGCCCACCAGTCCAGAGACCCTGCTCCAGCCCGACCTTGGAACCAAGGCCCGGAGCTCAGCCAGTTTGTAGACTGGCTCATTCCAGAGAGCTGAAGACTACCTAAGTCCAAGGACTGGGACCTCCTCAGGGGACACCCGCACTTCAGCACCAGCCTGGAAACCCTCCCTTTCCACCTCCCCACCACCGCCCACCTCCTCTAAGATTGCTGCTTGCTACACTGCTGAAGAACAAAAGATTCTGAAGCTGTAAGAGAAAATTCTGGTCAATTCATTGCTGGAGAAATGAAAAGTGTCTGCAAGGCAAACAACCACAAACAATGTTTT